GGTTAGTCGAGCTAGTACAGCGTCAAGATCAAAAGCCTCCTCGACTTTGGCAACAAAATGACGAAGCTTGATCAACCGTGTTAGCTTTGTAATACGTAAGAGGCGGACGAGTCGTGTGAGTCGCAGTGAGAGAACCTGCGCGTTCGAGATGCTGTTACCATCATCGGTAGTATCTGCAGTATTTGTGCTGCTTTGGACAAGAAAATAGTCGAGAGGAAAAACAGCCAGTACATCTGGAATAAACCACGACGTGAGATAGGTCTTTCTTCAGCGCTCGGCCAGCTAATTACCCTTGATCCGTAGCTATTCAGTGCTCTTATCGTTCGTTTAGCGAGTAGGGTTTCTGGGGTGTGGCTACCGACCGACAAGAAATTCGCAGATCGACCTTGAGCCAAGTACTCTGAGCAAGCTAAGTAAATGCAGCTCAACACTCACTTTTTTCTGCTTACCGGGGACACATTGAAATTCAGCATGATATTGTATGAAATCGCGGGCAGCAAAGAAAAACTGTGGTACCATTCGAAAGTGTAAGTGGAACCCAGCTTCATTCAGGCCAGTTAAGTAGTAGTTGATGCGTGAGGGCGGCCGGGGAATGTCTTCTGTCGTAAAGCCTATGAGGTGCCAAAAGCACGAGAAGATGTGTGTTACTAACAACACTTGGCCAATGAGGCTGGTTAGTCGAGCTAGTACAGCGTCAAGATCAAAAGCCTCCTCGACTTTGGCAACAAAATGACGAAGCTTGATCAACCGTGTTAGCTTTGTAATACGTAAGAGGCGGACGAGTCGTGTGAGTCGCAGTGAGAGAACCTGCGCGTTCGAGATGCTGTTACCATCATCGGTAGTATCTGCAGTATTTGTGCTGCTTTGGACAAGAAAATAGTCGAGAGGAAAAACAGCCAGTACATCTGGAATAAACCACGACGTGAGATAGGTCTTTCTTCAGCGCTCGGCCAGCTAATTACCCTTGATCCGTAGCTATTCAGTGCTCTTATCGTTCGTTTAGCGAGTAGGGTTTCTGGGGTGTGGCTACCGACCGACAAGAAATCCGCAGATCGACCTTGAGCCAAGTACTCTGAGCAAGCTAAGTAAATGCAGCTCAACACTCACTTTTTTCTACTTACCGGGGACACATTGAAATTCAGCATGATCTTGTATGAAATCGCGGACAGCAAAGAAAAACTGTGGTACCATTCGAAAGTGTAAGTGGAACTCAGCTTCATTCATGCCAGTTAAGTAGTAGTTGATGCGTGAGGGCGGCCAGGGAACACGGGTTCGTGGCGTAATATATCGCCTGGAGTAAAGATGCCGATATAAAGTCAATACATCCTCCACCTCCTCGTCATCGCTGGAGTCTCCATCACTGTCCAGGTGAGCTTCTAATGCACGCTGCAGCAAAGTCTCGACTGCGACGAGGACACTGCCTCTCTTTCTTTTCCTTGGCTTCATGGCAGTGAGATTTTTCTTTCAAATGGCACGTCGTCGTCTGAACTCGAATCTGCGAATGGTGTCAAAGATTCAGTCATTTTATTGGTAGAAATATGCTTCTGAATTCGACGTCTGTCTGCAAGTCTGACTACCACTAATATTGATCTATTTGTTATTTATATACTAATCTACCTTTAGCGGAACAGTGGTGTTCTGGCAGAGGCTGCTCTCTCTCACTTTGCGTTTTGACGCCTGCAGCTCACACGAGAGCAGCAGCGTGAACAGCCTCACTAGACACCGCGGTCCTGTCACGGCCTTTTACCCGGCACATACGTGTTTACGCATTTCCTTTAATTACTTTTCTAAAGTTGATCCTTAAGTGTTTTTGTATTTAGATGGCACCTACACTTAGAAGTCATCGACACATGGAGGGCAATCCTCCCGTGACGAGCTCTAAGTCACCTCGTTCATGTACACTAGACACAATCATTACGATACATAGTTCTTGATTTTAGTAAGTTAATGCGTGCATGATTAATGTGTCGCAGTGCCAAAATCATTTTTTTGTATTGGAGACCTGTAAATTGCAGAATCGCAATCGTTAACACGTGTAGCCTATTCGGTGTGATAGCAGGAACAACATCTCTAAAATTTGAGTGAGTTACAGCGACCGACAGGCCTCTGCGATTTGAATTATCATATTGAATAATATCGCATATTGGGAATGCAATTATGTATTGAGCAGCGAGTAAAAATGCAAGCATTTTTTCAGCATTTTATCAGTTATTCTAGGTTAATACTGTCCACCAAAACTACTGGTTGCCACCACCTCAAAAGAGACTTTACGAGCCTTGTGCAATCCCCTCAGCTCATTCTACCTTTTGCAGTCATCCCAACAACTCTTCAGCCCCCTTTCGCCCAAGTACCCCATGAAATTTACAAACAAGGACATCTGAACGCGTATCTGGCTGATCATGAACCCATGTTGGCCAAGATACACGCGCTCATGAAACACCTGAGCACCATCAAGTGTCGTGCTGCCCTTCGCAAGGTGACCTCTCTAGCGCCCGTCATGCCCAACGCGACTCGTTGGTCGAGTACCTACAGCAGTACGACAAGATTTGTAGCGCTCTTCTCGCGTTGTACCACGCTACGGTGGATAAGCATGACATCGCGCGCTTTCTACTGACGCCAGAGAAAACCGAAGCCGCTCGCTCCATTCTCAAGTTGCTGCACGAGCTAAATGAGGTGAGTAAGACGCTACAAGACTCAACTCTAACAGTGGTGGGTGCACGACGTGCCTTTGATGCAGTGTTGCGCAAGTACCCCAGCATGAAGACCCGGCTTGCAAGTGAAGCCTCCGTCGTGAACAATCCCGAACTGGAGAGCGGCATCGTGAAGATCATTGGCGGTGTCGGCTGAATGCACGCGAACAAGCGGCGTGTATTCATCTCAAGCGCAGCAGCGACGGCACTGTGGTAAACCCAGCAGTTTCCAAGTCATTTCTCGCGTCGGCCTTCAAGAAGGCCCCTGTGACGCGCTCCCCACCGCAATACTTTCCTCTCGAGTGGGTTCCACCCACGTCGAACGAGTGCGAGCGTTTCTTCAGTCAAGCCAAGCTGGTTCTGACCGACCTAAGGAAAGCCATGGACCCTAACACTCTTGAACTGCTTATGTTTCTATCCTACAACAAGAAGGATTTAGTGTTAAAGCTATCAGGCAGAGTATGGGTAGTCAACTTAGGGAATAATGCCATTATTATTGTCTTGGCGTAATAGCAGCCGAATATATTGAGTATGGCATATTGGGGAACCCTGGCCACCGACGTGTGTTCGTGATCTAATATGGCGCGGAGTGAGCATATGTATCTGTTTTAATAAATTTATAACATGTTATTTTATCGTATTCTCAAACATGTAGTAGTATTAATCATTCTTGCTACCCCGAAAAAGGAATCCTACTGGAGGATTCTGCCTAGTTGTCGGAATGACAAGAATATTTCAAAAATACTTTATATACTGAGCATTCGTAAGGAGACATACTTATTTTGGCTGGTCGTCCGACATGTCGGAGTAAGAGACCTACCAACACGTGATGTCATTGGCCAAAAGTTGAAAACTAAAATCTCTAATTGGCGTAAAAATTGACAGCCCCTAACCTGATCGCTGTATCTGTCGGAAAGACGTGTATATTCATATATAAAGTCGATAGAGCTGGGCTTTGTTATACATAATTCTTCCCACACCAATTTTTTTTTATGCCGATTGACCACGTGTTCGCGCCGAGATGTCTTCATCGTGTTTCCCTCGGGCGCATCTATTAAAACAATCGTCCGCATTTAGTAAATGCAGACGTACCTGCGTGAACCGCGTGTAAATGCCATTTACACGCGGTTCACGTTTACACGCGGTTCACGCAGGTACAGTACTGCACCCCGTTTTCGCGCCCCTGGACCTTTGATAAAGTTCCGGATGTGATGATCCTGAATCCAAATGAACTTTAATTTGAAAGCTAAAATCTGATTTATTTGCAAATCATATACAGTCGTGCACCTCGTTTTCGGCCCCGGTATGGCTTAATAACCTGCACAATCTAATGATTGGGCCACATGCATTGCGCAAATGAGTTGCCCATCTCCTTTGGACCAAATAACCTCAAGGGGGGATGAAACGCCGCACTTCCGCCACGATGTATCAGCTCAATCACTTCACCATACAACAGCTTATTATAAATTTTGTCGCAAAAGGCCATGGCACGTCGCCCGTCCGCCTATTCTACGTTGAATCTCGCCAATAAGCAAACATTGTGCAGGAAGGCAGCCACAGAGCCATCATGGACACTGTCTCTGTTTTACAAAGGCGAGACGTATACCCCCGTCAATATTTATACAGCGATGAAGTGGTGCTCAGAAGGTTGGCAAGACGTATCGACAATGACCATACGAAACTGTTGGAATCACACTAGTATTGTGTCGAAGATGGATTTGAGATTTGTACTTAATTAAGGTAATACAAAGTAGTACATTTGGATTCCATCTGCTCCTTTATAAATATTCGCAGCTCGTAGACTCTATATCCGCCGAATACGAGGTATAGGATTTACAAATAAATCTGATTTTAGCTTAGTTCATTTGGATTCATGAGCATCACATCCGGAAGTTTATCAAAGGTCCAAGGGCGCGAAAACGGGGTGCAGTACTGTACTGTATTACTTTCTGTGAATTGTTTGTGGAGCAGTCAGTATTGAATGTTAAGATTAAGAAAGGTGTACTTAATCGCGAGGGGGTAGCATTTAGTATGTCCACGTCCATCAGAGAACTTACCTCCCTGTAAAGAACTATAATAAACCTTCTGGATTTATGGTTATTTTCAGCATCCAGACCATTTGGTTTTGGAAATGCCCCTTTCTCCCAGGATAATCATTTATGGGAGCTCACCTCCGACTCGGAGTCCGAGGGACTTCAACGCAGCGGTCGTCAGTCACTGACTGACAGTCAGCTCTGGCTCATCTTGCCACTTTCACTTTCGTTCCGACATTCGCAAATGTATTGCTCATCAAAGTTAAACCTCTTGTCCATGTCAGTCCCTACCGCGCCATGCGATGACGACACCCTCCTCAGTGATATCCTGGCCTTCGTCGACACATTCCCGGCAGACAGCGAGCAGCTACTTAATGATAATACCGACACAATTGACTCCAGTGCAATGCATGAAGACGATGGCAACACTGCAGCCATCACTGCTCAGTCGAGAGAGGAGCGACGACGCATGGCTAATCGACTGAAAGACAGGAACAAGTACCTTAGGAAAAAGGTTTGTACAGCTTCACGAAGAACATGGGCTTATGCCGCCGCTGACAGTTTCTCACTACTTGCAGGAGAGGATCCCCAAGCTCCACGCAGAAATAGAGCAGCTCACCAAGATTCTTGCAGACTATGAACGTGGCCGAATTCTTCAAAGCCAACAAACCGAGACTTCCTTAGTGGGGAAGAACGAGAAAGAAAAGCAGCTTATTCAACTCTCCAACGAAAGGAATGATCTGCTGATTGAGAACGCTCAGCTCCGCAAACAATTCCGCCGAGCCTCTGCTCTTGCTACCAACCTACAACAAATGCTCAATAGCGAGCACAAACTGTATCTAGCTAACTCATCTTACTTCAAACCGCTTACAACTTCCGACTGTCAGACCGTCTGACTCAGACGGAGCTGAAAAGGTCACTGGGTGTCATCACGCCGAGCTACGGCGTCTTGAAGAGCATGAATCGAGCACGCGAGATCTGTGGTTGGAATGAGAAGCGCTTGACAAAGCGGTCGGACTTTCCAACTGGAAATCGAAGCTGATACTAGGCAAGTCGGCTCGGTTCGTCTCTAACCAGACTTGGGAAGTCTTCTTGGACCCGTTTCGTACCGAGAAGCTGTTCGCACCGATCATGAATGTCCGGTGTCGTCTCGTACAGCGCGTGGACGGCGACAACGTTCTCTTCTGCTACGACCATGCTGCCTCGTGCGTCTTGTCCGAGAAGACGGACATTCCATCAGTAAGCACGATGGCTCTAGTGACTCGAGTCTCCACAGGTGCTAGTCACCTCATCATCACTCGTGGACTGCGACATGGAAGTGTGGAAGTGCAAGATCTACTTCGATCGACAACTACGGACCGCAGACGTGAGATCTGGCTAGAGACGTTGACTTGGTAGGTCTCTTTTAATCGTGTCTGGCTCAAACTATTAATAACCGCTGACTTCTGTACTTGCAGGATTCAATTCGAGCAGCTTGGCCAGGACTGCAAGGTGACTATCGGTGGGATTACGCCAGCGCTTCGCCAAAGCTCGTACTTCTGGATGATCGAGTGCGTCCAACTAGCTCTCCGATGGGAGATGGCAGTCCTTGGCCCGCGTTTCCGAGCGACATAGCGACTGTCAATTTCAGAGCATTTCAATGACAATGGCAAATACGTGAAGGTTAGTTAACAAAAGCTGATTCAGAAGACGGAAACTGGTGCGGCATGTAAGCGGAAGTGTTCTGATGCGACAGAGGCTTAACTTCAGCTATCCCCGCTTAAGTGTGAAGTGGTGGGTTAGAAAAGTGTCACTTACAGACGAGAAACTCGGTTCATTCTCAACTTGTTTATCACGGTCTCATGTTTGACGAGACTTCCTGTATTGTGATACTATATCGGTGGAGACTTGGGTTCCAATAAAAACTTGCATTCGAGGGTGGTTTCGCGTTTATCGACGAATTCGAACGATGTCGTCTCGAAGCTGGAGCCAATAATGGTAAGGCACAACTTGAGGGAAGCTCGGCGGCACTACTACACAAAGACACAATCTGGTGAGCATTTGTGTTGGGCTGCACTTCAAGTACCAGTATCACATACGTTGACCAACTAGCACTAGCACTTACCGGTAGTATGTACTTTGAAGTAGTAAGTGACAACTCCGGACCAAGAGCTGAGAATAATCGCTTCACAATAAGATCGATCTCTGTCGTCCAGTGCTGACACCGCCGACATCAGCCCAAGGCCACAAAAGGTTGATCTGCCCAGCGATAACGAAAAAAATAATGAATGTAGGGTCAGAGCGATCCTTGCTTCGCACTGTTAAATGACTTAACTGATTGCATTTGGCAACTCAATTTTGTCCACTTACACACTTAGTGCACAACTTGTGGTAACTTTACCTTACCTTATGATACCGACTCCGCCGGTAACTCCTCTGTGCAGCTTTTCTGTCGAAGTGCCAGCTGAAAAGATTTAGCGGACGTAGTGGATATCCTATATCCTATATCCACTACGTCCGCTAAATCTTTTCAGCTGGGAAGTGAATCAAGCGCAGCGACAACTTTTCGCGTAGCCAAGAACGCACTTCCCAGTTTTCAAGCGCATGGAATCAAATTAATTTACTGCACCTGTACACCCTTTAAGTACTACATGTATTATTAAATAATACTACTTTACCAGCAGTAAAAGGTCTACACTTGAATAATAACCAATCAAAACTAGGTTGAAAGCTAAGTTGCACAAACGGTTTGTACAGGGCGGAAAATCCCCGGCGGGCTAAATAAGTCAGCAGATCTGCTCGTGACGTCCATTTCAACATTTTCTTTCCACCCACAGTACAATCAAGGTTCAATCTGACCATGGGCAAACTATTCGGCTCGAAAGGCGATCTGCGCATCGAACTCGACCGGGGGAGCTACAATCCCGGAGATATTGACAAGGGCGTCGGCCTGAGGATGCTGACCGCCATTGCAGCTTGAGTTGAAGTTACACTTTATTTTCTATTCTTTCTTTCTAGGCTCTTGTCCCAGTCGGAGACAAGACACGACACAAACTAACAGAAATACCAGTCTTGAATTAACCCTGTTCTAAAAGCCCCTCTGCGAGCCAAGGGCATATCACTTTGAACTAGTTCAAAGTAAAGGACGGAACTAGAGGATAAGTTGTAGAACTTCTACAACGGGTGAAGACCAAGCAAGACCATGGACGAGATGAACCGCGCAGACAAAGGCGTGGTATTCCAGGTGACAACAAGGGAGTCAACGTACAACACGGAGCGTGAGTACGTGAAGATTTCACTCCCTCGCTTCAGCGGAGGCACAGCCCAAGATTGGCTTAAGTGGAGTCACAAGTTTGGACGTCTGTGCCAGCTCAAAAAGTGGGCACCAGAAGAGAAGGACCTGAATTTGCAGTTGGTGCTGGAGAATGAGGCACTGGAGGCGTGGCAAACAGCTTCCGAGGATAAGGATATGAATAGTGTGGCACAGTTTACGAAGGCGTACGCGTTGTGGGGACGGACGTACGTACCCAAAGCATACAATGAGCAGTTAGAAGAAGACTTGTTCATGTTCGCCAAGCGGCGTAATGAGACAGTGTCACAGTGTCACCGGCGCATGAGAGAGATTGCTCGCATGCTTCGAGACTTGCCAACGAACCCCATGAACTTGGACGACAAGTCAATGATCAGGTACTTCAAGCGTGCGATGCCGAGAGATTGGAGACATGCGTACGAGTGCAGTGGTATCACATTCAGTAGTATGCCGCAATCCGTGCAGTATTTCGAGAGCCTTGAGCAGTCAGAGCGACGCGAAGGACAAGAGAACAAAGGCAAGCCGAAGGCGAGTAAGCCGAATAAGCAGTACGGCAACTACCATGGCAAGAATAGTAGCCATAAGAAGTGGAATAATAACCACACGAGCAAAGCGTCGTCGAGCAACAACGCAGAACTAAGTGCAAAGTGGTGCAAACTGCATAAGACAGCGTCACATAGTGACCAGGAGTGTTTTACGCAGAAGAAGAACGACAAGAATAGCTACAATCAGAAGTCAGCGACAAAGAAGTCGGAGAACCGAAAGCTGACGAAGGTGGACGACACGGAGTCGGACTACAACTATAGTGATGAGAGCGAAGGCAAAATAATCACCAGTGCGATGAATGAAGCGTCTAAAAGCGTTGGTAGACCAATGCGACTGAGAATTCGGCTCTCGCAGACGAAAGAGAAAAGAGTAGCTCTACTGGACACTGGATGTACTACCAGTTATATTAACGCATCACTCGTGACTGCTAATAAGCAGCTGGGAGTCAAGAAGACCCCTTCAACCATGACATTCGAGCAAGTTGACGGTAAACTCAAGTCGGATGGTACTATGGTTGTGAAGTTCAGATTCTTGGACCTTAACTATGGCTCACGAATCACTCATCAGTTTGAGGTGATTAAGAACACCAAGGACGAGATGGTCATTGGTCGCGATTTATTGAGCGCATTGGGTATCATCGTGAGCTGCAGAGACGGCAAGGTGGAGTGGAACGGAAACTCCGTGGTCGTGAATATGGGCAATGCTGGGACGTATCAAGAGATGCCAGACAAGAAGCCGAAAAGACACCTGCCTGTAGAATTGAAGTAGGTGGAGATACTTGACGAGGTCAAGGACATTAACGATACTTCGGATAAACCGATGGACCTGATTAGCGATGCCGACATCAACCAAGAGACGTACGACCAAGTCGTGAAGTTGTTAGCTAGCTTTAAGATGTTGTACAATGGGCATCTGGGCAAGATGAAGCTGCCGGATTAGGTCTTACCAATTGTTGAGCCGTTCACACCGGTTCATGCGAGGCCATACTCAGTACCGAGGAGTGAGGAAGATGCAGCTCGCAAGGAGATACACAGATTGATTACAGTCGACGTGCTTGAGCAAATCTTCGACTCGGAGATGGCGTCGCCTGCCTTCTTCTTAAAGAAGCCGGACGGAAGACTACGGTTGCTGACTGACTTTCGAGCGCTTAATCGGTTTTTGAAGAGACATCCATACTATGTACCGCTGATTCGAGAAGTTTTAGCAAAACTAGGTGAAGCAAAGTACTTTTCGTCACTGGACGCCAATATGGGCTATTACGCTAGACAATGAGCGAAAATAAGCCGAAAGTACACCGCCTTTTGTACACCATGGGGAAAGCTCCAATACAAGAGACTGCGGATGGGAATATCTACGGCTCCGGACGAGTACCAGGCCAGCATGATGAAGATCCTGGGTGACTTGGATTTTGTCATCGTGTATCTAGATGACATACTGATCTTTTCGAAGACAGCCAAGGACCATGTGGAGCATTTACGGGTGGTACTAAAAAGTCTGAAAGAGTACAATGTGACTCTTAATGGCAAAAAGTGTCATATCTTTTGTAAGTCGGTGGACTACCTGGGTTTTACATTGAGTGCGGATGGAATCCAGCCTCAAGAGAAGAAGATCAGTGCGATAACGCGCTTGACAGCGCCGAGAACAAAGCGTGAGCTGAGAAGATTCTTAGGACTGATTAATTACTACAGGGAGATGATTCCACACAAGTCCGCATTGTTGAAGCCACTGACGAGAATGACGTCGCCAAAAGCAACATTTGTGTGGACTTCGACAGAGAATGAAGCATTCGAAGGAATCAAGAAAGCGCTAGCCGAAGTAGTACTTCTATCATTTCCTGACTTTTCAAAACCTTTTGACATCTACGCGGATGCGAGTGGTAAGCAATTAGGTGGTTTAATTCAGCAGGATGGTAAGTTGATTGCGTGCTTTTCGAGAACACTTACGGAGGCGCAGAGGAATTACACCACGATGGAGCTCGAGCTACTGTCAGTTGTGGAGATCTTAAAAGCGTACCGAACAATACTCTTAGGATTCCCGGTGGTGGTGCACACAGATCACAAGAACTTGATCTATCCTACGGAGAATTCGCTAAGAGTAAAAAGGTGGAAACTCTTACTGTCAGAGTACCGGTTGACATGTGAATATGTACAAGGAAAATCGAACATTGCTGCAGATGCGTTTTCACGCATGGAGTGCACATCCGTGTCCAACGAAAACGGTCACAGCTTAGCAGAAGCACTGTTCAGCGGACAAGGCGAATGTGTGTTGGAAGGAGATTATATCAAACAGTTCCAGAGTACAGACAAGATGGTACAAGTGCTGTTGCAAAAGTGTGTGAGTGGCACGAGTGACCCAGACTACCGGGTTGAGAACACCATGGGGGGACAACGTACTCCTCCTCCGTGTGCCTTGCAGAGCCGTCGTGTCTGGGCTTTCTTGGTACATTCTGGAGCACTGCATCGAGTTGACTTGCGCCGAGATGAATTCGGCATGTTGGCATGAAAAGCCAACTTAAGAGCCCCTTTGTCTTCTCGAAAAATACCTGGAGTAAACGATTTGAGCTATTGACCATAATGCCGGATTGATCTGCAAATTGAAGACTGCACTCTTAAGACTTTTTGTGAGCAAAGTTTGAAAAGGTAATTCGAAAGCAAATCGATGTTTATGCTTGGTTTTATGCTTCAACCATTCTCGATCTAGGATATAGAACGGAGGGACAGTTCATCTACAAAAGGCAATGTACCTATTTACATGTACTTTGATGAAGAAGTGATCGGTG